CTCCTCTCGCTCACCCAGCCTCTCTCCTGCCAGTGACCCGGGAGAAGAGGATCGACCTGGAGAAAGGCCAGACCCAGAGAAACGTCTTCCTCTGCAAGGTGCTGGGAGCCAGGGGCGCAGGCAAGTCCGCCTTCCTGCAGGCCTTCCTCGGCAGGAGCCTCGCGGTGAGTGGCTGCTCCCCTCTCCGGCCGCGCTGCGGCAGGGCGTCCCAGCGGAGCAGGAGGCAGAGCCGTGAGGCCGTTGAGCGATCTGCTGCGGGACGGCACCTCCCTGCCCGTGGCTGGGCCCCAGCGTCCCGGCAAAGGGCTTCACACCCCTCTCCATGCCGGCGGTGCCCGTTGCTATGGCTCAGGCGTCCTTAATTTTGCCTAAGGCAGTGAGCCTGCTCCCTCTGTGTGTCCGGAGGAGCCGGAGAGGCTGTGCCTTTCCCGGGCAGCTCTGTCTCCCCGAGGTGACACTGACTTTCCCTGCTTGTTACGAATGGCCCCACGTCTCGTGGCAGGCCACAGCTGGCCTTCGAGTGGCTCTTAACGCCACGGGGCTTGGGGCAGTGTGAAATGCTCTCCCTCCCCCAAGCGCTGCTCCCTGCTGTCTGAGACGGTGTTTTCATCGGTGGCAGGCCCAGAGGGAGAACCCAGGAGAGCCATCCCTCTACACGATCAACACGGTGCAGGTCAACGGCCAGGAAAAGTACCTTATAGTAAGTCAGGGAGCAGAGGGAATCGCTGCTGCGTCTGGCTCGCAGCAGGGCTGGGCTGCATCCCCCCATCTTGCCACAGTGCCATCCCGGCACCCCTGGGCTGGGCTGTGGCTGCGGTCACGCCGGCACAGTCCGTGTGCTGGTGTGAGAAACAGCCGATCTCCTCGAGACGGTGCTGTGCCACGTGTCCTTCCCTCTCCTACCCCAGTTGTATGAGGTCAGCGCCGACACGAAGTTCGTGAAGCCGTCGGACACAGCCTGCGACGTCGCCTGCTTCGTCTATGACCTGAGCGACCCCAAATCCTTCAGCTACTGTGCCAGTATTTATAAGGTACCTGGCAGGGGCCCTGTGGGACCTCCGCCTGTGCGTGGCAGCCCCGCATCTCCCGGGGGTTGGTCGCTTACCCCTCGCTGGGACTTCCCCCCGTCTCTGCAGCAACACTACATGGACAGCCAGATCCCCTGCGTCTTCGTGGCCTCCAAGACGGACCTGCCAGAAGCGGGTCAGCAGCCCGGGCTCTCCCCCGCCGAGTTCTGCTACAGGCACTGCCTCCCGCCGCCCTTCCTCTTCTCCTGCCACGGCCAGGGCCCGCCCGACACCACCATCTACACCAAGCTGGCCACCGCCGCCACCTTCCCGTGAGTATCCTTCCCGCAGAGGGGACTCTCGACTGGGAGCAGAGCTTGGGGAGGGGGGCTGTGTCCGAACCCTGCCTCCGCTGCGTTGTTTCTGGTTTGGTTCCTCTCTAGCTCTTGGCGTCATCTGCTCATACAAGTAACTGAAACAAAAGGACCACTTTTTCCCCGGCTCGGAGAGGGTGGAGGCTCTCTTCTGCCTGGCGTGTCTCCCTGATAGATTTCTTAGATAGATCGTGCCACAGGAGTTTTTATTTTTGAAGCCTAAGATAAAAAATGCTGAAGGGGAGTAGCCAGCCTCGTTTGCCAGGGCCCTCAGCAGCTGTTTTCTCCTGCTGAGGTGGATCAGACTGAAAAAGAGGTCAGCGAAGCGAGACCTCTGCTCGCCCAGCCTCCCTTTGGGGAGGAACCGCACCTGGAAGGGGCTGGGCAGCGGGGCAGGGCGGCAGCCGGGCCGGCCGCGGGCGGCGAGGCCAGATCCGGGAAGGAGGACGCGTCTGCGCGCGGCATCGCTCCGCGCGGGGGGCGGCAGGGGCTGAAAGCTGCGGGTCGGCGCAGCGCCGGGGGCAGAGGCCCCCCGGGGAGAACGTGTGGGTGCGTTGGAAGACAGGATGGGATTACTAGCGAGTGGTTTTCCCTCTAGCTTCTTTTCAATAAACAACTTTATTTTTAGAACTGACGCTTTTTTTTTTTTTTTCCCCTCTGCAGTATTAAAATTTAAATATTCTTAATATATCTTAGGGTATGTGGTATAAATAAATAACGGCATAATGGAAGGCCAGGGATTGGCTCTTCTCCCCTGATTTAGTGGAGAATGAATAATGGATATGCCTTTCCTCCTCGAGAGGAGCACGCTGATGCAGGACAGCACGCGTTTAGGAAGGGAACGCGTACGCTCGGGCAGGACTGGGCCCCTTCCCTCGCTGCCCTTCGGTCGGTGACACCGGCTGTGCCAGCCTCTCCGCCTGCACCCGCTTCTGGGTCTCAGTGCACTTGGAGTTGTAAAAGCAGCTTGACCTAGAAAGGAAGATGCGTACCTCCTTGCTCCTACTAATTATTTAGGTGTCAGTGTGCTATTTCCAGACCATGGGAGGGTAAAGCCACATCCGTCCCACCGGCGGGGTGGGGAGCCGTCGTTTGGCTTGCTGATGGTGCCGGGCGGTGGGTGCTCGGGCTCGTGGGGCCGGGGAGCTGCTCGTTGCCTTCGGCTGGGCTCTATCCTGCGCCGTGGTCACCGGCCGTCCCCCAGGGGCACCCCGACCTCCCTGCTTGGGGGCTGCCGGGGAGCTTGGCGTTTGTACAGCCGTCTCTGTACACCTCGCTCACCGCTCTCTTCTCTCTTTCTTTGCAGCCACTTGAACGCCGTGGAGCTGGGAGCGGCGTCCTTCTGGCTCCGGGTGGCTCTGGGGGCCGCGGTGACTGCTCTGGTAGGGTTCACGCTGTACCGTGCGCTAGCCAAGAACAAATGAGAGTCGCTCTCCACCCCGTCCTCCCCGTGACACCAGCCTCCCCCTCCTCAATGACGCCCCGGTGAGGGCTCCTGCCTCAAACTGGTTCCCGGTGGGAAATCCTCCTTTCCCCCCAGCCTGGATCGCAGGACCAGTGAAACCGGACTTCCCAGCACCAGCATAGATCCCCCGGCACCGGCCAGCCTAACCCTGCCGCCTCCCGGCTCCTGCCCAGCCGCGGCAGCAGGGGCTGGGCAGCACTGCCTGGGGGCTCCGCCTCGCCAGCAGCTGGAGGATCACCCCCACCTTTTATTCTGTTAATTTTTTCTTTTTTAACGTTTGTTTTTAAGCTCAAACATGAGTGTTTCAGCATCTGTTGGGCCGGGCACATCCCTTCCCCAGAGGGCTGTGCTGGTGCCCTCAGTTCTGGGGGGCAACACTCCCGGAGCCCCTGGGGCCTCCAGCAGCAGCAGAGCTGGGGCGTGGGCTCGTGGCTTCGCCCTCCCGGGGCACGGTTCCATCCCCAGCCCGTTTCCCTCTGCCAGCGCTGGGAAAGGCAGCCGTGGAGGGCCAGGCGCTGACACCCCCCAAGGCCCTGCGTTTTGGGGTTCCTCCTGGCCTTTACTGGGACGCTGTGGCTGCGGCCCCGGGCTGCAAGGGGTGGGAGCGATACCCGGCACCTGTCCAGGCCCCTTCTCTCTTGTTTCTGCACAAAAATACTCCGAGTCCTGCAGTGTGCCAGGCTCGTGGCCCGTCTGCCCTCCTCCCCGCCAGGCTGCGTGGCCCGTCCCCTCCCCACCCTTGCCTTGGCCACCAGTATTCACGGCCACCAGTATCCGCAGAGCCCCAGGAGCCCTGGTAAGCTGGGGAAGGGCTGCAGTCCTTTCCCGGGAGTGCCGTCACCGAGGTGGTGCCACGCCGTGCCACACGCTGGCATATGGCCCTTGTCCTGCTGTCCCCTCCGCGGGGCCCTGGCTGTCCCAGAGCGCGAGGCTCTGGGCATTGCATCTCCTGGTACAACTGGAAGCTTTTTTTTCCTCTGCCCGCACCCGAGCCGGCCTTAGCTGCCAGGCAGCTGCCTGTGACTTCAGCCCAGCGCAAATCCAGGGCCAGAGTCCCACAGCGTCCCTGTCCCCGAGTCCCAAAGAGCGAGGCCAGCCTGCGCCGGCCTCCAGGCTCAGCTCACGCCATCCCTGGGCTCCCGTCCTGCCGGGGGGAGCCCGCGTCGGCTCCCGGCTCAGCGACGCTTGCTCTTAGGCTTTTCGAGCCCACTCAGGGTAGGTTTATCCGCAGGCAGCTGGTGGGGCAGCACCGAGGTACAGCTGGAGCTGCTTTTCTGTGTGTTTGTCTATTTAAACTTTTTTATCGTGGCCTGGAGCCGGTGAGGGGGTTGAGCACCCATCCCACCGCTGCCCGGTCCCCGGTGCGGGCTGGAGAGGGGGTCCCTGCCTGTGCCGGAGCCGCTCTGCCAGTTGGGCGCTCACTGCTGGCCCGTGGTTCCTGGCACTGCCAGGGCCACGTCCCCGGCGTTTCCTTATCCCCTCTCCGTGCCCGAGCCCACCGGGCACGGCTCTGCCACCCAGGCCCGCGTCTGGTGGTTTGAGCCTGCTCCCGGCACCGGTCCAGGTCTGGCAAAGCCATACCATTTTAGGAGGTTTGTTCTCTACGTGAAAATAAATTTTTACACACCTTCCGCTTGCACGCCGTGTCCTGCCTCTCCTGGGGAGCGGGAGCCCTCGCCCCTCCCTCGCCTGGGCTCCCTCGCTTTGGGGGCAGTTACAGGGATTTAGGGCAGGAGGGGACGAGGCTCGGGGCTGGCCCAGGGCTCCTTGGAGTTTGGGGACGGGGATGCCTCCACAACAAGTGCCGGGCAGCGGGGAGAGACGGGGAAGGAGGTGGTGGGTCCCTGCGTGGCTCTGGCAGGATCTCGCGGGCAGAGGGGAGCGGGAGACGTGGCTGCCCCGTGCCCCTGGGGGCCGTGGCTCCGGGTTCCCGTCCCCCCGCAGGGCTGGGGGCTCCCCACTTCCCTGCAGCCGCCTTCCCCCCGCAGCGCCCGGGGCTGTGCCGCCTCCCCTGCCTGTTCCCATTTCCCCGTGGCAGCTTTTCCCTCGGCTATTTCTGTCTCTGCAGGCTCCGCCGTGGGCGCTGGGCACCGGGAACCGCGTACGAGGGGGTCCCTCGGGGCTGCCAGGGTGGGAGAGGAGACCCTTCCCGCCATGGCAGCCGGGGTGCCCGTGTGGGGACGGGGAGGGAATGTGGCCGGTGCCACCGCGCAGGGCGGAGGAGGCGATGCCAAGGTGGATGGGACGCGCGGTGCTCCCCGGTGAGTCCAAACCAGGCTGGGCCCGGTGGGAGCGTCAGGCTCGTGCCGCGGTGCATATTAATAGCGCCGGTGTGCCGGAGCCACGTGTGCCATGCCGGAGCCACGCGCGCCGTGCCGGGGCAGGCCTGGAGCAAGGGATGGACGTGGCGGGGCTGCAGGAGCTCACCCATGACCCCACGCAGGCCCCGAGGACGGAGCCTGGGCATC